AGCCGAACTGCAGAACTGCAGTCAGCTGAAGTGGCCTGCACTACTGCACCCTAACCACTGCGCCACCTGAGCCGGTGAGATTAGAACCGCCGAACTGCAGATAACAGTCAGCTGAAGTGGCCTGCAGTACTGCACCCTAACCACTGCGCCACCTGAGCCGGTGAGATTAGAACCGCTGAACTGCAGATAACAGTCAGCTGAAGTGGCCTGCAGTACTGCACCCTAACCACTGCGCCACCTCGGCTCTTAACATGTAATGTGCAGCACACTCACAAAGTAGCAATATGAACGACTTCTTTACCTATTAGCTTACTGTTTGACCTTGAAATTGTTCCATTTCTAATTCCGATGTATACCTTGAAAAAGCCGTTCCCACTTTTTTCTCCCTTTCCCGCCCTCTTAAAAGACAAGCCCAAAGCAAATTTATATGATCTGAGCAACATTATTTCACAGTGCAAAAAAGATTCTTGTCCCTGGCCACTTCCCATGTCTTTACTTTGGAAGAAGTCCTCACAGAGGCTCTTGGCCTTTTTTCTGCAATGCCCATTGCATCTGCAGTATTCAAAAACGTTCTTTTGGACTTCCGTGACACGGTCAGCTTTTTAAGGTCAGCCTTTTTTTTCTGAAGATGCTTTTTTATGGTAGTGTTCTTTGAGTGGGGCCTGAGAAGAGATGATTGAAGAGTACAAGATTTTTTTTTAATCCCTCCTATTGGCTGAGTTGCCCTTCTGGGTGGCTGTTTTCTGCTGCCTTTCTTAACAAGGTCACGTTTGATAAAAATCAGCTCTGAAGTTTTTTTCGGAAACCCTGATTCTTTACTATTGATTTTCTTCCTCTGCCATGTTTTCTTTGGATTGTCTCTTTCTAAACAATCAGCAGTACGGGACTTCGAGGGACATTTGACTCCTTTCCTCTTAAATAGATTGAATTGAAAGTCACCTTCCTGCTGTGACTGATGCGACTTCAACGGTGAAGTAAATAAGTGTTTACAGCATTTCTCTGAACAGTTGTAGACCGAGCATTCTGATTTTTCGGATGAAATAGAAGGGCCCTCTGACTTACGATTTGAATTCATACCATTCCCCTTAACAGGGTCCACCAAGAGAGATGACGCACGGTGGTCTGGGGAACTGAAGGGCTTTGATAGATACTGGATATCAGCTTGTTTCTTCCGGTTTCCATCGAAGTTGAGGTTCCTGAATAGCTGTCGAACATGCGCTGGCTTCTTTGTCTTCCCCACAGCTACGCATTTGGGAGGCGTTTTTAAAATCCGATTCGTCAGAGGATCGTAATACTTAATAGGGGTTTGTTTGTACTTGTACCTTAAAGAATCTTTGCTATCTGTGGAATGGTGGCTTTTAATTTTGGGAATCTCCTCAGCCTTGCTCCTAAACTGTTTCATCTCTGGGCATGAAAGAACATAGACTAGTGTCTGCGGCTGTACAGGGCTCATGAGTTTGGTATAAGATTTAGGAAGCTTAAGAGCACATAGCCTCGTTTTCATGGTAGGCGTTTTCTCATTCTCTGACCAAAGGAGGTTGGCCATCTGATTTTGCAGCTGACGGTCCTTCCTAATTATTTTTTGCTTAACTACCGGATACTGTATTAAACTGGTTTGTGTGCCGTGGCTAACCTTAACTACTTGGCATCTTGAGGCAAGGCGGAAAACTCTTTTTTGGGGATTCTTCAGGGGCTTTGGAACATGTATTTCTGAAGTTGCAGAGAAGTTGCTGAAGTCAGGACCATCGCTTAGCCCATCAGTAAATTCTGGAAGCCCTTTAGCGGGCCCAGCCTCTGTTTTGTTAGGTGCGACTGCATTCATCCTCTCATCAGGCTTTTGAGGTTTTTTCCTTGGTGTACGATGAGCCAAGGGCTCAGTGTCAAAATGGCAGCGGAAGCGGCCTTCTCTAAATTCCCGCACAAGGGCTTCAATTTTCATATCATCTTCGTACATGATCTGAGACCAGGTTTTTCCTACAAAGGAAGGAGGCACATGAGGCAGAGCTGGAAGGACTGGTTCTTTGCTTTGAACTGAAATATCGTTTTCTGCTTCTATTTGCTGCACTGAAACACTTTTAAAAACGGAGCTGAGTTGGGTGTTATAGTTTTCATCTTGTAGATTTACTTTAACTTCTTTGAGAAGTTCTAGATTTTTAGCAGCTAATTTGGACAGGTTTGCTTGTGAATCAACAGCTGCGTCACAATCAAAACTCACATCTGAACCATGCAGACTACTGCGATCCAAAAGTGACAGAATATTTACACAGGAATTTGTATCTTCTTCTCTGCAAGGCAACTCTTTGGGAGGAGGCTCATAACAATATTTCAAAATCACCTGTTCAATTATTTCATTGATAGAACTTTCAGCGCTTCTGCACAAATGTTCTTTTTCTCTTGGTAATCGGGGAGCTGCTTGAAAATTCAGGGAACTGCTGGTGCCCACAGGTTTTCTAGCATTCCTGAGACAGAGGTTAATCTGAGTTGCATCCTGAGATTCTAAGTCATCTTGCTTTAAAAAAAGTTGACCTGAGATTAAAGAGTTGCCTTTATTACAGACAGGACTCTCATGAAAATGCGAAACAGTTTTTGACAGGACTGGCTGTAAAACAAGATTTTTGTTTGAATTCAAAAGTCCATCTTGGTTGCATATACCTTGGGTAGCCTGTTCACATGTGTCATCTGCTTTTACTGGATAGCTAATATTCTTTGCAAGTCTATGAGGAGTGAATGGTACCTGGCTAACAGGTAACGGATGGTGTAAAACATCCTTAGCTGTAAATGAGACTTTCTGACTACTATTTTCGGTCAAAAGGTTTGTTGGACCAAGATTATTTATATTACTGGAAATATCCATATTTTGTTGTGAAGCTCCGAGTTTGGGTTGTTGTCCCCTTCCCAGAGTCTGGACAGGTAGAGGTTCTACAGAAGCCGCCTTCTGCTTTTCATAGCTCTGGGAAATAAAGCAGCCTGATTCAGCAGTGAATCCACTCTCAGTGTTTGGATTTTCCACCCTGCTCGTCTCTCTCTCCTTCTCTTTGACTTCCACTGATACAGCAGCCCCATCTTCTGCAAGAAGCTGGGAGTTGACTGGCATGTCATCGTAAGTTGGTCTAGGGAAAGGGGAAAAAATACACATCAATGTTATAAATTATTGAACATTAAAGCAGAATGCGCAACTAAGGGATGAAAAGCCAGGAGAGTTAATAAAACTTTAATGGTCCTAATTTTAATAGGATGACTAGCAGTACCGCTGCAAACCAAATTGGCTTATAAACCACTCAGGAACTTAGAAGTTTGAGCTCTGAATTTCATGGTTTCCTATGTTGTTTAAATCCCACTGCTATATAATGATGAGGCATGAAAGGGAACTTTCAACATTATGCATCATTGGGGAGATGACACCATGATCTCCATAATCATTTTTTGTGTCAAAACTTTAAGTCACAATAATTCATATGTTCTGATATAACAATCATGGTTCACGTCTAGGTCCACATAAGACACCGAACCAAGCTAACCAGGTTAGCTGAAATGGCATAATACAGAAATCTGCAAATTAATCAACTATATTTCAAGCCAACATAGCTTTAAAAACTAGCCTTAGCTATGTTAATTGCAGGAAACTTTAATGTAATCATGAAATCTTTAACTTTAAACTTTAATGTAATCACATTCATGCAGCTGAATATGTCGTTATTCAAAAGTAGCAAAAGTCCATGTCCATATTATAAAACGAATAATCTTACAGTACCATTGATTTTTAAAGAAAATCAGAATAAGCAAAACGTATGAAGAGAATAATTTATACTCAATATTGCTGTATACACAAAAAAACAAAAAATGGACTTTCACTAAAAACTCAGACAAATCTACAAATATCTAAGTAATAAAAATATTAAAGTTTATTTAAAATTAATGAGTTAAGCGAGATTATTTTGGATTGTGGGATTATTTTGATGCCACTAGTCTCTCTCTTTATCCCTCTCATAAGCACTAATTTAAAAAAATTGATCAGAAAAAAGTTATATGTAGCCCTCGACTTTACAAGAGGAATTGGAATTTCTGTCATTAATAGTCAAAAAAGGCAAAAAACACTGCTTAGCAACAGCAATCACTACACTCCCAGTTGCCGTCATTAACTAAATACCAGAGTTATTAGATGAGGCAACTTCCTGCCGACTTCCCACAATCAAAGTCAGTGGGGCAGCCTTCCCTAGTGGCTTCCACATTGACATTTCATTCTGTCCTGGTCATAACCATCATTCGTTCAGTGCTACTGTGATTTGGAATAGTTACTGACTGAATTACTACCGTAATTCAAGGACTACCTACCATGTTTTCCCTGAAAATACGACCTACCCCCAAATAAGCCCCAGGATGTTTTACGGGTGTGGCCAATATAAGCCCTACTACAGAAATAAGCCCTAGTGAAGGAGGAATGGGCATGGCCAGCATAGGAGGTGGCGAGCACATGCGAGCCGATGGGCGTTATGGTGTACCAGTGGCCTGCGGAGCTGGCAGCAGAGTCAGAAAGTGAGGAGGTTGGGGAGGAACATGGGAGTCTGGGGAAGGCTCAGACGAGGGTTCTGCATGGGAGGCAGAGAGGGGGCCAGGGCCATCTGGGAGTTAGGTGCTGTCTCCGGAGCCTCCAGAGTCAGACATCAGCGAGGAAGAGAACAAGGGGAGCCTGTTCCCAGTGCACGCATGCGCAGAGCTACCAGAAGACAAGAAGAGTTAAGACAAAAGGGGCGACTCGGGAGTAAGGCTTGGAGTTGATTGGCCCCTCCCATATAGACATAAAGGAGGAGCAAAGGGACATGAGTCTTTGCAGGAAGCAACTTTGTTCATTCTGGTTGGTTAAAATTCTGAAGCTCTGTTTTGACTCTGTGCTCTGTGTGGCCTTGCAAAGCTAATTGGCAATTAGGTCTTTGGCAGCATTTCATAAAAAGGTGGGTTCTTATCAGCCTTATTCCGGAGGACTGTGGCAGACTTCTGTCAGACTCTTTACAAACTATTTGTGACTCATTACGGGATGTTAATGAACGTAATTCATAGCAGTTGAAATAAACAGAGGGTCTTTGGGACTAAGTATGTGCTTTGTATTGTCTCAGGAAGCCTAGGTCAGAACAATGGGGTCTGGTAGCTGCCACAACCAGCACAGCACAGATGTGTTGAGTACCTGTGCAAGCGGCAGGTGGAAGCAGAGGCAGGGGGGAGGCTGGGGATCCAAACAAGCCGCAAGGGCCAAGGGAAAGCCGAGCGTCGGGAAGCTTGTCTTCACATAGCGCCACAGGCAACAGATAGAGGCAGAGGCATGGGGGGGTGGGGTGGGCAGGCAATCCAGAACCTCCATCTGGGGTGCAGGAAACTCGAGCGGCGATGACTGGAGTGGCAGGCGGCCGTGGGAGGCTCGTCTTTGCATTTCTTGGCTTTCCTTCCGCTCCACGCATCAGGATTGCCTGCCGTCCACTTCGTGGCTTCCGCTCAGCACAGTCCCTGAGTGTGCCAACCAAGGGACCAGCGGGCTGCAGCTGCTGCCTGATACTATTGTTCCCCACGCACTTGCTGGTTCTCGTGTACGCTCTGGGGGCAGGGCACCCA